TCCCTCCCATCCCTGGTTTGGATACAGTGTTGGGCATAGGGAAGTGAAATTCTGAATGAGGAGTGGTGGGACAGAAGGTTGTCATAATATTTTTGCAACCACTTTGTGTTGCGGCTTTAATGCTTCTAAATCACCAAAGCTTTCAAAAATTACAGAGTAGTTGCTGAGATTGCCCAGATCACTGTGGTCACACGGTTGTGTAATTCTCACATACAACAGCCTTTTTTTTTTTTTTTTCCTCTCGTTAGTCACCTCCTATCTATTAAGAATCCTATGAGTTGCTTACCTTAAAGGAGCACTCACTTTCTCTCTAATTAACGCCTGTTTCCATATAAATGCTGAAAGTTGTTGACTTGCAATTGCTGCATGCATTCATGGGGGAATTGTTTTATCGTAGTTGCCCCTGTGGGTTATTAATTCCCCGGTGGAGGTTTTTTTAGCATAATATTCTAGTTGTAGACTACTCAGTGGAGCTTTGGTGCTATGAAAAGAATTGTAGAGTGTATGTGGGGGGTGGGGGTGGCAATAGAGATTCATGGAAACTACCAAGTATTTCATAAACTCCTGCTTTGCTGATCTTTTTGGGTTTTTTGGCTTTTTTCAGTCTGCAGATTTCAAAATTCTGCCCAACAGCTATGGGCACGCAAGGGATGCCTACGCGTTTGGAACAATGGTTGAAAATCTCCTGACAGTCCTAAACGATCAGGGTGAGGAATGACACGTGTTTATTTTGCTCTTGACCAGCCTCTGTAGCTTATTCCTTGCCTGTGTCAACTGAGCCATTTGCCTTCCGTTGTCGCTGGCAGATGTGCTGCAGGTTCAGTGGTCATCGTTGTTCTTCGTGTTTGCTAGGTTAAAATACAGTCGTCAGCTTCTCCTGTATGAATATGGTCAGATGTGGCTGGAGGTCACCAGCCTGCGTAACACGAGCACTCCCACGACTGCTCTGCAGCAGTCAGAGGTTCGCTTGGTCCTGCCCCACCAGCCGCTTCAAGGGTTATGGATGCGGGCGTGTGGATGCTGTGTACCACAACTGAGCAGGGGCTGCTGCCTTCTAGCAGAGAGGGAGCAGGAAGCTTCTTGGAGTACAGTAGCACTCCTTGGTGCTCCAGTAGGCAAGAAGCCTAAGGAGAGAAATGGAAATGCTATTTTCCCTTCCTTTAGGGACAGATACGAGCAATTTTGCTATCAAACAGAGCTTCCAAAAATAAGTTTTTTGGGAGGGTGGAGGACTCCTGAACGTAGCTTGTTCAGTGTTAAGAGAGAAATCTAACTGCAGGTGCTCTGGATTTCAGTTTCAGCAGATATTCTCTCCAGCTTTCAGCAAACCTTGCACTGTACACTGCTGAATCCAGATCCAAAGTGTCGTCCACCACTGTCCAGCTTATTGTGTCACGAGTTCTTCAGGTAAGGAAACAGAATATCCTGCCCCTCTTGGTATGTCTTAATACTGCTTATCTCTGTGTTGCAAATGCGTTAATTCTGTGAAGGCATGTTACTTATTGGAAGTGCAGACTTAATCCTTACCTCTTACAGGGATCTCTGACAAAGGGAGTCCTTAAATTGAAAGCATTTTCAGCCTTCCAGATGAGGTGCCAAGTTAGCAGTGATGACAGAAGTGTGTCCCTTAGTGACATGCAGTCAGTTGGATCTCCCCAGGCTCATGGGAGGTGGTGCAAAATGCTCTAGAAAATAAAATCATTAGCAATACCGCTGGAGCGAAGAAGGCTCCGAGATAGTCCACACAGAGCTGTGTCTGCTGTCACCTGAGTGCTTCTCTGGGTGGTGGCATTAGTGTAGACACTTCCTTCTGCTCATTGCCCCAGGAAGGTGGTCAGGGGTGGTTGATGGTGCGTTGCCCAGGTCTGCCTGCGAATTGCTGACTTCAAAGTGCAGCACTGCGCAGGCGCAGCTGTCGGGTAACTGGTCACACCTCCATGCTGTCGTTCTTGGTCCCCCAGCATTTGACTTGTATCCCTCTGTCTAGTTATCTCTGCTAAATGAAGGATGGGGATTTGCAGTCTCTTGGTTGTGGGTGGTTTAAGCGTCAGTAAGAATCACACTTGACAGCCTACGTTTTTGTGCTTAGGAATGATTTTCTGGAAGTTGTGAATTTTCTGAAGACCTTAACACTAAAGTCTGAGGAGGAAAAAACTGAGTTTTTCAAGTAAGTGAAGGACCTATAATCTGGAAGCTTCTTATTTCAGAAATACTTCTGCCGAATGGGATTGTGGGGGGACCTCGAAGGCTAGTGGCCAGAGAGGTAGTTCCTCAGGTGCCAGATTTTGATTGCTTTGGCAGAACATTGTTTGCTCTGTAATATTTTGGGTACTCCACGCAAAGTAATGATCGCATCAAAGAGGAAATTCTTCACTCCCTCCTTTTCCAGCTTCTTGTTGTGAATGGTTTGGTGTTTGGGAGGAGTGGTATCTGCTGGGCTCTGCATCGTTCTGATACTTGCCAGGCTCCTGAGTGAGGCTGGGCACAGCTGCACGGACAGCAGTGTTTTCACCTGCTACAGACCAATTGCTGTCACTGGAGAATCAGTCAGAGACCGGAATGTAGTGACATGTGTCATTTCAGGGGTGCTTTTCTGAATCCTGTCTGCTTGCTAGCAGCTGGGTTGAACTCCTGCAGAGCCAAGAACAGAAGCTTTCCCAGGAGTACAGGGATATGAAAAGGAAAGAATTTTTCCATTGTCCATATTCTAATTGAGTTAATGCACTTTGTGGGGCATAATGCTGATGTTATTAGCAGAAGTTAAATTATTCAGGTTCTCTTTCACCCACTTTAGCAGCACTGGCCCATCTCCCACTGCACCATGGGTAATCGTTTGAAAAGCCCATTCCTGTGTTGTAGGGTTGCGGTAGAGGAGGGAGTGTGGCCTAACAGCTTGGCTGCTCAAGCTCTGGTGAACAGTCCCTCACTGGAGCTGTCCCAGGGTCCTGCTGCTTTACACACAGGCTATCTGCTTGCCCAGTTTCAAAATAGCCTAAAATATCAGAGAACTTCTTGTAATGTGCTAGGACAAAAGAATCTTTCCCTCGCCTCATTCTTAGAAGTAGCTTTATTTTAGATGTGACTTTGCAAAAAGTGACATCTAGCACTAGGCACCTCTTAAGGGTGAAAATTTCTTCCATTTAGGCAGATCTTGTACATTGCTGAGACAGTTTTCACTAAGACGTATTGGGTGAATTAATCTTGTGGTGCCAGCCCTGGGTAAAGCTATTGTCTGTAATGGATGTCTCAGCTGCAGTAGTGCAGCATCTGCAGGAAATTCTATTGTCATGGTCCCCAAGACGTTTTCTCTAAGGGAAGCTTCCATGTAGTCATGGCATTATCTGGGCCTGAAAAAGGGAGAAGCTGAATTTTTCTTTCTTTTTCCATATAAAGGAGCCTGGGTGTTCTTACAGAGCTATTTTCCTGCCTGTTTCATACTTCTGCGGTCACTGTCAGTTGTAACACTGGTTTAATTTCACTAGTTTGAGACCAAGTAGAGCAAAGAAGAGGAGAAAGGGGATCTTAGCAGGAACATTCAGAATGGCTCCCACCATCTGTGTAACAGCAGTGTTTACTGAGGGAGGGAACGAATACTTTGTTTAAAGATACAGCAGTGTTGCTCCTTTATCAGGCAGAGGGGCTTTCACAGGATTTGCACTATTGCTCTTAACTGTCCTCCAAACCTAGAGAAAAGCGGTAATTGTTACTGATATTTTAAAGATGAAAATCCTACAAAGAAGAGCAGTTGCACAAAATAAAACTCTTTGTGACTTAAACCCATCCCATGCTCTGTTGGCCACCTCTAAAATGTATTAGATGAAAGTGGTTTCAAAATAGGATTCCCGTTTTGCAAGGGAAACTTCCCTTCGGTGGTGGGTAGAACAGCCTTTTCTCAAGCAGTAGGAAAATTCTTGCAATGCACCAGGTTGTGGGGCGAGAGGCCAACTCTCTGCTGCAGTTTTAACGCTGTAGCACTTCATGGGAGACACCAGCTCTGAGGCAGTTTGATGCTGCAGCAGTGGGCAGCTTCTCAGAGGGGGAGGCCTTCATGAGCCAGCTGCAGGTGCAGCGGTGCTTTTGGATGTGCTCATGACAGCCTGTGATCTGGGTGTGGGGTTTTACAGGATGCGTCTCTGGCTCCTGCTTTGTGTTATTGTTGCCTGAAAGCCTCGGGCAGGAGCAGAGTCGTTTTGTTCTAGGTTAGTGTGCACGCAGAGTGAGAGGCTGTGATGGGACTTTGTCTCTAGGAGATGAGTTGGACCCCAAAGAAGGGGAAAGCAGTATTAAGGGAAACAGTCGTAAATGCATGGACGGCTGCCTTGACGCTAATTGCTCTCTCCTGGAACGCAGATTCCAAAAAAACAGAGGAGCTGATAGCGTCACGGCTGGTGCCTCTTCTACTCAATCAGCTCGTGTTTGCAGAACCTGTAGCTGTCAAGAGTTTTCTTCCTCATCTGCTGGGTCCAAAGAAAGGTGACCTTTAAATACTTTCTCTCTTCAGAATTATTACTGATGAGTTTGGAATGAATTCAGAGTGGTCGTTCCATTGAATCAAGGGAACAGTGGCGTTCATTTAACCAGAACAAATACTGTAACGTACAGAACTGGAAAGGACAGTTATGTGTGCTTCCCCATTTGCAGTACTTTCCCACTGCTCTGCTGATGCTGGGAAGAGAATTAGGAATTGCATGGGCTCTTTCCCAGGTTTATGTGTCACCCCACCCACCTGCCTCAGGCTTTCTCAGTGGCTCACTGCACATCCCTCTTCTCACCTTTCCCCTACCCTCTCTGCCCTTTTTCTTCTGCCACTGCACTCATTCTCCTGTAAGGGTGCTCAGTCTCTTCTCCTTCCCTCTATAAGGGGTGTGCAGCATGTCTTGCTGGATCCCCAGCTATCTCTGTCCCCACTGTTTGCCTCCCCTCTCCTAAAGCTTTTCCTAAATAGCTACTGATGTTTCGGCCAAGCAATACCTGTCTTGTGACTGTCTGACCTTCAGTGTTGAGAGCCATTGCTGTCGAGCAATGGACACTGGCGCTGCTGCCTCTCCTCCCTCCCATCTCTGACATCCTGAGCAAGCTGTGTTGGCAGCTGACAAAGAACCAGACCTGGCAGTGGGGTGACACTGTAGATTTCGGCTGTGATGGTTTCTCAGTGAGTAGCTTTTGGGTGAGCTGCCTCTCATTGAAACAGCCTTTTCACATCTTCACCTCTCTTCCCTAGAGCAAATTGGAGAAAGCCAGACCAGCTGCCTCCTGTCACCAGCCTTGTTCCAGACGCACGTCATTCCTGTGCTGCTGAAGCTATTTGAGGTTCACGAGGAGCACGTTCGAATGGTGTTGCTGTCTCACATTCATGCCTACGCAGAACTGTTCTCTCGGGAGGAGTTGAAAAACATCATATTGCCACAGGTTAAGGACAGCAAAACAATACGCGGTATATCCTCGAATATGGGATTTCTACTGCTCGGGCTGGTTCTTAGCTTAAAGTTAGGATCTCATAGTACTCAGACAGTTTGCAACCTCCTTTCTATGCAAACCCTAGCCCTTACACCCCATCCAGATCTGGTGTGCCATTTTTGTTAAGCCCCATGCCCTCTGGCACACACACCACTTGTGCTGGTACCTGTTGCCCTGGACTGGCAGCCTCACAACAAACAACTCTGTTCCTGTTTCACGCCACAGCTGTCAAGAGTGGAGGAGTGATCGGTCTAAGCTCAGGGTGCCTTGGCGTTGCGCTCCAGCGCTCAGCAGGCACTAGGGCCAGCCACCCTCTTTAGCTTGTAACACAAAGCGGAAGGCTGATTTTATGCTACAGAATAACATTTGGTGTCTACTGACAGCTGTGGGAGACCACAGAAATGAAATATGCAAATAAAACATTTAAAGGGGAAAGAAATGAAAAAGCAGAATTTTCTGTTCTTGGTAATGTTATCATGTTCTTGGTGTAGGTATTGCTGGGCCTTCGAGATACCAGTGACTCTATCGTTGCAATAACGCTGCACAGCTTAGCGGTTCTTGTCTCCCTGCTTGGACCTGAAGTAGTTGTAGGTGGAGAAAGAACGAAGATTTTCAAAAGCTCTGCACCAAGTTTCATGAAAACTGCTGATTTCTCCCCAGAAGGTAAATGATACGGTCAGAGTGCTTTCGGGATTCTTGCCCATTCTGTCCAAGCAACATAGGCAAAATTTCTTGGATGATTAATCTTTTGCTGTTGGCAGGTTAATTGAAAAAAAGCTAATTTGTAGTTAAACTTTAATTCTAAATTAGGTGCTGACTGTTTGCAGATACAGAATTCATACCATAAGAAGAGTTATATAAAAGTATTTTAAGTGTAGGAAATATATGGGGGAAAATTTTAAATATCTTCTTCATTTTAAGAATCTCTGTAAGCAAAGGAGATTAAGTGTGTCTGTTTGGAGGAAAAACTATACTACCCTTCTAAAAGGCTTTAGGTACTTATCCATATAGTTGTTTAATATTCCCTCTGTTCTTCATGTTTTTAAAAATAGTAAATCTCATCCTCTTCCCCCAATTTCTATTCATAGATTGGAAAAGGAATACGAACTTCCCTATTTTCTCAGCTCTCAGGAGGCTTTTCAGCTAATCCAAATGAAGACAGTAGTCCCTGCACCTGCTAGATAACTTGGAACCGAGTGTACTAAGGGAAAGCTTTTCTGGATATTCAAACTAAGAATGCTTATAACTGGAGGGAAGAATTGGCATTTGTTCTACTTTAGACATATAGATACCAAATGAAATGCATGATAAGAGATCAATTTAAGTATAAATGTTTTCTTCCTGATTATGTGTGTACTGACAGTTACCACCCTTTTATTAAAAATCTGTGGATGGTTCATTGCATTATTTTGCTTTACATTATTTTAGTAGGCTATAGTAAATAAACCCATTTGGATTGCATGCTAAAACCAGGTTTATTTTTCAGAATATATTTAAAATTAGACCTGGTTTAACTATTGACAAACAACAAAAAACCACACCTTTGTCCTCAACAGCAAGTGATAACCTGCAAAAAACAGTACTAGAGGCTGAACAAGTGAGGCTTAATAAGCTGTTTGCTTAAGCCCCTAAAAGGATGTACCTGTTATCAGGGGCACTTTGGGGAGGGGGTGGGTTCCGTGTGTTAATTGCAGTCCTTTCCAGCGCCACAGGCCACGGGTCTCTGGCTCTGGTTGTGCTGGTAAGGCCTAACCTAGGCAGGCACAGCGGCTGGGAACACGGGCGAGCCACGTGGAAGCAGATGCGGCGCTGGCCCGAGCCATGCTGTTCTGGGGTGGTGGCAACAGGGCCTCACACAGCCGAGGCCAGTGAATCACCACCACCACCACTGATGATGCGCTGCAACTCCCAAAAATGAACTGGAACTAGGTGCTTGCCAACCCCACCTCACCTCAGGTGTGGTCCGAGGGAGGCTGTCACACAGCCTTCAGGGTAGAGCCTCTTGTTCCTGTAAGCTGCTTTGCTCATGCCCAAGCATTAAAAAAAGGGTTTGTGTAGTTGCATGAGCTTGCTTATGCTTTGAATTGTTGTGACTATCAGTGCTGTGCTTTTGTAGGAGAGGCAGGTAACAGGGGATTTGTGATGCCAAGCAGCGCAGAAGCTAGGATTTTGGATCTAGCCAGGTGGCTGACAGTATTTTTTTAAAGCATCTGTTCTGATCATAATCAGTTTGTTCATTGTGTATTTCTTGAAAGGACATAGCAAAAACTGGCCATTTACTGTTGCCCAAACTTTGTATTGGCAAGAGCTGCAGATGGCAGGAACAGAGGAGTATTGTGTTATATACAGCTCAAGAGGTGCAGCTGCTGCGTTGCTGTGCCAATCCTCATTCAGTATCGCTTGTCAGTGTTGTAAGAAAGAACATTCCAATGCTGCGGGCGGTTTCAACTAAGACTGACAACGCACCTTGTGGATCCGGTGTCCTTTCTTTTCTTTTATCCCTGCAGACTCCCCCAGTCATGTTGTAAGCAATCAGAGAAATCAAACCTCTCGGCCTTTGAAGAACAATTCTAGTGTGTTGCCCATCGCTGGAAACGTAGCTGTCAAGAAGCTGTCTGTGCGACAAGACAATCCACTGGCTTTAAAGACAGGTAAAACTTTGCCCTAGCTCTTCCTTTTTAGAAATCAAGTGTCCTACAAGTGAAACGTTGCTGGAAAAGATGTTAATTTTCCCCATGTGCTGATCTGAAACGGATAGTGAACAAAAGAAGGTAACAGTGAAGGAAGGAGAGTGTGACCCTTGACTTCCTAGGGAATAGTTATTTGGGAATCTGATATACGCAGACCGCTGGCTGGCCGGCCAGCCTTGAATTTCTGTTTCCTTACAGCAGGTTCTCTGCTGTGCTTTTTCACCCCTCCCACAGTTTGGCAGATACACTAGATTTATAGGTCAGGTCATTCTCTGACTTCAGAAGTTGACTTAGTTTACTTTCATGGCCTTTTTTCAGTCACCTATTGCTCATCAGCCCCAGGGCTTTGAGATCAACATCCCTCCTTTGCAGGCAGGATGTGCTTTCTAATATGAGAGGAACTTAGCATCTTTCCAGTCAGCATTACCAGCTTATTTCCATGCCAGGTGCTACCTGCAATGTCAAGGAGTTTTAGGCACAACTCCGTTCTCCACACTTGCTCTCTTGAAATGAGTATGTAACACCTTGGTCTTCCACAGGTGAGCAAGACACTCAGCCCCCCCTGAATGGAATTCCTGGAAGCATTAATATGCTAGGGAGCAGCAGGAGCTCTTTCACTACCTCTGAAAAGCCTGCAGAGGAGTGGCCAGACTGGAGTGAGCCAGAGGAGACAGACACTGAGAAAACTGTGAACATTCAAATTCAGCCCCAAGAGCCGCGGGGCAGTGTGGGACCTTATTTTGCTGAACATGATGTAGATGAGAAGCCTTGGGATGACTTTGAGCCCAGCAGCCCTAGTCCTGAACTGTCCTCAGGAAACTGCCTCACTGTGACACAAGCCGATGCGGTTGAAACGCTGAGGCCTCTGCCAGGTACCCATCAACTGAGCAAAGAATTCAAAAGCCTCAGACTGAGTCCCCCCACAAAGTCCTGTCCTGGGAGCAGCTGGAGCAATGACAAATGGGACCACCAGGAACAACTGGGCCAAACTGTGCTGCCAAAACCAACCTTTCAGGAAAGGCTGAAGTCGTCATCAGAGTCTGGCCTAGGAGAAGAATTCACGATCAAAGTGAAGAGGAAACCTGTGCAAGACCCTGAGCTGGACTGGTTTGCTGACATGATCCCAGACATTAAACCTTCTTCGGCTATTTTGATTTTACCTGAAGGGAGGACAGAAGCAGTTGTTCCCCGTCACTCTGGTGTAGTATCCAGCAGAGAAGGTGCCTCCCAGAACATGCTGTTTTCATCGAAATTCGCAGCACCTGATGTTATTGAGGTAAGAGGCTATAGGCAGTGGGGTTTAAATGACTGCATATTTGAGAGGACCCTTAAGCAAGTACATAGCACAACACACTGTTGTAGAACCAGCTGGCTTCTTAATCAGATGGTGGATAACATGAGGGAGTATCAGCAGCATACGACTGTACAGTTGAGTCTTTACCTGTGAATACAGGATGCTGAGCTCTGAATGATACATCTTATCAGGCAATTCAGTGAGCTGTTACTGCAGCAGCAAGACAGCTGTGTTAAGAAACAGTGAGGGAACAGGCTTAACTTATATGCTACTAAAGGCACTAAGGAGTTTTAACTTGTGCTGCCGTATCCTGGATGTGAGGACCCTACACTATGTTAGGGAGGGTCTTAATTTGTCTGACAGGTAAAACAAGGCTGGATCCTGTCTGCTGAAACTGGCATGGCCCCAAGCACAAACAGAAGGGGCTTTCAAGCGCAGAGGATGCTCAGGACTCAGTGTTGCTCCTGGCTCTTCTAGGAAAATGTAATAGTATTGTAAATAAAGGACCAGGAAACCAGAACCTCTGTAATTAGGGAGTAAAGCTTTTTGGGTGCTTTGTTTTCATTGAAGAATGGCCAAGACATTTCTCCATTTCAGAGAATGGGAGCGGGGGGGGTGTGTGTTATAAAACTGTCGTCTTAGGTAAGCAGGTAAATCCCTCTAGCCGCATCACAGAGGCTCCAGAGACGGCTTCAGTTTCCTAGGAGGGGAGGTAGCACTCCCAACACTGCCACCTGAACACATAACTCTGTTAGGGAACAGGTGTTGATTTCAAGTTGTTTTGCTAATTCAGTCTCAAGAGAGCTACCACAGGGGTAGCATGGGGAGAGGAGCCTTGGATGTAAACTGAAGTTGTTTACAACATTTGAAAGTGGCACACTTGATTTTTTTTTTTTTTTTTAAGAAGCACTGTCATGGTATCAACCCCATTTTGGGGGGGGAGGGGAATCACTCACTGTAGTGCCGTCAGTGCTGTGGAGTAGCAGAAGAGCTGTGTCAGTGGATGGGTGAGATGAAACTCTTGTGTTAGAATACAGCAGGACAACAGCAGTTTCCTGGGGGAAAGAAATCATCTAGTTTATAGCATCCTGTTCTTAATGGGAAGTAGTTTTGGTACAAAGAGTTCTTGCTTTAATTTTAGGAAAAAAATACAAGAATCTCCCTGTTACTTTGCTCTTCATCTTTAAGGCGTTTCCTTTTGTAGTTAAAAGTTCTTTAAGACCGCTGCAAATACTGGCACTTCATTTTTGGTCTTATGAGGGGCTTTTGGCATTCTGCCATGGCAAGCTGCACAGGCTACTGCCTGGCTCCTGTGGCTGTGCCAAGTACAGAAGTACAGTACACGTGCCTTAATGTTGATCATTTTACATGATTCTAGGCTGAAGCTGCAGGCTGGGGTGAAGAAGAAGAGTTGAACTGGGAAGATGATACTAACTGGTAATGGGACTGAAAGAGACAAAGGCAATTTATGGTGTGTTGGATTCTGTAAGAGAAGTCACTGCTTCCCCAATACAACAGATAAGTACCTCAGCACTGCTTTTGCCAGAAGGCAGGCACTTGCTGCAGCAGCCAGCAAGATCCCGTGGGGCCTGATCTCTTGCAGTAGATGCTGCTTTCCAGTCTGTGCCAAAAACTGCAGGGGTGAGGCCTGCACTCAAGCAATATGCCCAGCTGTGGTGCATGCCCCTGCTACCGGAAGGAGGAACAGCGTGATGGGTGTGTTGGTGCTGACATGCTACTGGAGGCCAGGAGTGGTATAAGCAATTGTTCCAGAACTCATCCCTGCTCTGAAAAACTGATGACAATAAATGAAAGTCACACTGAGTTCCTTGGTTAATGTGCCTTTTTTTTTTTTCCAGAAAAATGAGCCATTTCTAACTTTCTAGCTAAGAGATGATTTTAAGATGAATGTACAGTTTACTCAACTTATTTATTTCTGTTTATATAGTTCTGTCAGTGGATGGCACAAGAGGTGCTAGGAACTGTGTAGTGAAGAAGCATTCACACAAACTGCTTAAGCACTGCATTCTTTCTGCTCTTAACTGTGACCAATAAAGATTATTTTTAAAAGATGACCCTAGTGTGGAATGGAACCAGCAGCAGAGGTATGTTCAAAGAACCATATAGAGTCTCAAATTGTTACTCTTGAGTGTATTTTAAAATTGAGATAACAACACCTACTGCCTGGTCACCTGTATGTGACAGGAACAAAGGTAACTTACTTTTACAACAGATTGACACATCTTTGTATTCAAAATACAATGTCATGAAACATTTATCATCATACAATAGCTTAGAAGAACAAGCTACAATGTACATTGACAATGTACAAAATGACAGCTCAGACGCACCACAGTGTCCATTAAAATACATCAGTCCTTCCAGCCACTTATTATGAAAGACAGGCCAACATCTCACACCTCAGTTCATTTTGGCCTATTAACTGAGACCCAGCAGTACCATAGACCATCGCCCTGTGTCACAGTATTTTCTTCTCCAGCAATCATGGTACAAAGGCATCTCTTCCCTCAGAACAGGGAGCTGAGGGGTTTTATTGTCTCTAAAACCTGTTGCGCACCTTACCGTACACTGTCTCTGAGGATGCCTATAGCTGTCTGTAGAGCCTCCAGTTTCACTGCAAGCCAAGCAGGGGGTGACCCTTTCCCGAGCAGCAGCTTCACAGCCTCCACTGCCCCCTCCATCGTGCCTACTGCTGACTTATACTGCTCCTCAGAGGGTGGGTGACATGCTCTTTTTGCCAGAGGCTGCAGATTTAAGTAAACATGAGACATCATTTATAATGCTCTACATAAGTGATCAGTCTTCATCCAAATGCAAGAAAACCCTTCGATGAAGACCCGTAAGAGATTCCCTTGCCTTGTAAGAGTTCTTGCCGACTGGCAGGCAGTACAGAGCATTCAGGTATAATATTAAGGGCCAGGAGTGCACATGACCTTTTTTCCTAGAACATGAAGGGCAGCAAGACCATTTTGAACCTCTTTAGATACTTCCCAGAACTGACAGAAATTGACAGCAGAGCCCACACAGTTTACAGAAGTGCACATACCTCTCCTGTTGGCTCCAGTTCTCCTGCCATTTTCATAAACTGTGCACTGCAGGTAATCCTTTCTTGTTTCATGCGTTCTGTTCGTGCTTCTGTTGTCTCTTCTACTTGCCTCGTCTAGGGAGAAAGCCACAGGAGAGGTAACTAAACCAAGGCAGCATTACCAGCCTTCATAGGCTCAATTTGTATGCCAGAACAAGGGGGAAGGAGGGAGAGATCTTAACATGCAGTTCCAATTGAGTAATTTCTCACACACTCTTCTGAGCAGGAGATTGAAGTTATCTACAACAACTTTGGTGTAGCATTACTGGCAGCTATCAGTTCTATTGCTCATTATCTGCTTGTCAAAAACTGCTCATCCAGATAGCCCTTAGATTACACCCCCTCTTTTCCCTTGTCTGTGGTCTGAATGAATAGCCATCTGCTCTTCAGAGAATTTTTTCTAACAGGCAAAAAGGACTAAGATGTTTCACACATGTTCATTTAACTTCCAGAAACTGATCCAAGAGAAACAGGGAAAGAAATCACAAAAAGACAGGGATTTCATCATTCCATTTGTAACAGATAAATTAAATCGCACAGTTATTGTTGTAAGCAGAGAAGTTTGGGGTTTGTTTTTTTTTTCCCAAGGAAGGAAAAGCAAAGCATTTAAATCAAAGTTGGGAAGTACTGGAAGAGCAGCATGCATAGGAATGGCAGTTGTTAATTCTGCTGATTAAAGCAAGTAGAAAAGTTCAACTAGATCCCAGTTAACAGAACAATTTATTTTAAACTTAATTATTTATTTGCCATGCAGATGATGCATGTGTAAAGACACAGGCAGTGGACAGCTTATTATGGACTTGTACATCATCAACTGAGAAAGCAGTAAAATGGTTCAACAGCATACCTTAGCCAGAAAGCTAACAACTTTGTTCTTAGTTTCTTCAGAATTAAGGCACTGAGGAACAACATCTTCATGGCTTGTTTCCTGTCAAAAATGTTGAGTAATAGTTGCTTAGTACATTCATATTAACAAAGGAATAGGCAAAGTAAAAAATGTTTCTGTCACAATCCCTTCCTTGTTGCAACATACGCTTAATTTTCTTTAACTTCCAGCTTCTGAAATCACTTATAACTGCATTAGCCCTCATTACTTTTGATGTGTGATAGCATCTGTAATACCAAGATCCAAATTGGTCAGTGAAGAGCAGCAAACATTTAAGACGGAAGAATTTCTGTACAATAAAAGTTAACAGAGCCAAATACATGCATCCAGAGTTCTGCTATGCTTACCTCTGCAAAATGTGTGAATGCCTCCAATGCGTGCTGATGAATCAGCCAGGTCTGGTCAGCTAGCAGAGAAGCAAACAAACACGACAACTGGGGTACAACTTGCCTCTGAAAGAGAAACAAAGAGCTATCAGTTCCAAAAAGTTAGTTGTGCATACCTTACCATTATGATTTTTTATTAAAGAATCGCTCTAAGGTCAAGGGACAGGTTTGCGAAATGCGAGAGTGCTGCTGCCCTGTCTGGCAAAACCAACACTGTAAGGGAAGTGACGTGTTTTATTCCTTCTTGGAGGTTCAAATGTCAGTCCTTTCTAACTGGTGAGAAGCAACAAGCAGATGAATAAACCAAGCATCTTACTTGTACTCAGCATGTCTCGATGAAAAAATAACTGTCATAGACCATTAATAAGTCTTCCAGATGACTATGTCATGGCACTCCTGTATGTATTTGATGAACTTGATGCTTTAACTTTATATTTAAATAAATAGCACATCTTTTCATCAAAAGACTGAAGATTATCTAAATAAGGTCACAATTATATTTACCTGTGCTTCTTGTGGTATAAACACCTTTCCCATAGAAGACAGAAAATCCACCATCGCTAGACGAACGTGATCTGGGGGATTCAACTGGAAAAGGGAAGACTGCAGTGCAAATACCTGCAGAAGGCAAACCCCAATGAAGCTCCATCGAACAGACTGCAGGTGAAAACTGTTCTGTCTCATCTTTAAATCTGAGGACATTGATTTTGGAAAACTGGACTGAAAACAAAAGGAGGTGTGCTACACCTTGAATAAAACTGGCTAGAATAAAGCTGCAGTGTGCATTTTAGAAAGAAGTAAGTGCGGTCTATAGCATATCCATACATCTCAATTATCTTACAGAGTAACAGGATTCTCAAAAGCAATGTTAACCAAAGTGGCATATACTTGGTTTAAAGACCAGGAAAGTAATCAAGGAAGAAATAAAACTAGGAACCTCCATGTGTTAAGAGAAGGCCAGACCATGAAATAACTCATTGGAGATTTCAGTAAATCACAGAGAACTTGGTTTTCATGCAGTAAATTATTGATAAGTAGGTTTTGTTTTGGCGTTTTTGGTTTTTTTGGTGGGGTTTTTTGTTTGTTTTGGGTTTTGGTTTTTGTTTTGGTTTGTTTTTTTTTACCTGAGTAATCAGTTGAGCATCTAATGCTTGGATGAAAAATTCCAAAAGGTGAAGTAATAAACACAGTGTCTGCTGGAGACATGGCTCTTCTGAGACCTTCAACAGATCACAAGGTATTAGTAACATTGTGCTTTAGCTTATGGAATAACTACTTAAGAAAGAATTTAAAGTTACAGTAGCATTCCAAAATTCTTAGCCTAACTTCACACACATAACATAACACATTGCAAGCAGCAGAAGAAAATATTACAATAATCATATCAGTATTTCTAGGTAGTCATATTTTACAAGACCCTTTTCTTTGATTTTTATTAAGAATATCTCTTATCCCCCATCACCTTCCTCCACTCACTAATATAAGCAGCTAAAGGTTATCTGAACTATTTCTTTTCATTTATCAGTTGCCAAATGTCTTCACAGAATGGCTGAGGTTGGAAGAGACCTCTGAAGGGGCACATTGTTGGCTCTTCTTCACCCTCACTCTCAAACTTCCTTTTTTTTTATCCAGAGGATGAACCATGACAATGCTTTTTTCTTTACTGCAGTTGCAGACGTGGACAGGTATACAGTCGCAAGGGAATCACCTTACCCCCTTGTTCACAAATAATGGAGGAAGGTTACTAGCTCTATGGGTTTTCATGTGCTAAGCTATGTACTAATTAAATCACCATGAGTTTCGTTCACATACTAATGAACATTTAAAATAGGCCAAATTTGTAACTGGTATGAATCAGAATGAGGTATTTCAGACTTCTCGTTAAGCAAGTCTGAATCTGACACTGAGTAACAGATGGAGTAGCAAAGGAGCCAATATATGGAACATTCAGGAAAATTCAAATTCCACTTCCCAGAGCACACGCCTGCCTAATATATAAACCAGCTGACAGCAGATGGGCAGAACAGTTACACTTTGCTTTACAGAAATGGTCCAATCCAAGTAAAACAACTTAGTAACAAACACATAATGAAACAGCACCAGCCTCTCAAAGACATCATGCTTTCACCATTGGAGCAGCAAATTCTCTTACTTGCTTAGCCTGGAGTAAAGTCCAGAACTGACCGAGCACTCCCAAGATAGATGCCTGAAGTTCTGCCTCCAGAGTGTCACCAGCAAAATTGTAGGCAGCCAGCAGGACAGAAAGGGCAGTATTCTAGTAGGAAAAAACATGTAAGTAGGACCAAAAAAACCTACATGTAAAACAAACCAAAATCCCAGGCTCATATCAAACATCGAAAATGATACAAGATGGCAAGAAGCCCAATGTGCTGTGTCAGCAGTACAGTACAGCTAATCCACCAGGCCACTGGCCAATAAAGCTT